GATCATCTCATTCAAGTGTATTTATCTCATGAAGATTATGTTCAAGACTTCTACCTGTTAATCCATTTAGCTCTGGTTTTCTCCAAAACACTAAAGAGAATGAAAATATGTAGGCACAGTCAAGGAAAGAAAACAACAGTGTCTATGATAACAATTATCTAGATGTCATTTCTCACCATTATTATAAGCATTGTTGGTTCCATAATCTAAGTCTTCTAATGAAACCCACATAGTTGAATCAAAAATAGAGCTCGAATTTGAATTTACCAGTGTAAAGTAGAGCTTTGAGACTGTATCAGTCCACAATCTAATGAAGGTTAACAAGGATATAGTTTACATTTGTGTGTAAATAAAACTAAGATTTTAAGAGGAAATGGGACAAATAAGATGATTAAGACGGCCTTCTGCGTTTTTGATAATAAACAAGGACGGTGTGCTTAAGATTCCTGTAAAGAAAACAATAACAACAACCGTAACTCGCCTTAATATTTTGCAGATTTCTTTTTATTTTGCTTATCAGATTTAATTAGGGATTTGAAATTGGAAAAGATTAAATAATTTTGATATTAATTAATTTTGAGGTAATTATTTGCAACAACAAAACTGATGGCGCAGTGGTTGGATGTTTGATGAATAAAGCAAGACTCCTTATGCACAGTAAGCTAAATAGTACAAAAAGGGTCTGTATTTTATAAGGGAGGAATCACAAAAAAATTGCTTTGCAGGAGTAGAAGGCAAGAAGGCATTTAACCCTTGAAAAGGAGTTTATTGTATGATATAAAGGCTAAATATCTAGATCATTAAAGAAACTAATTTTAGGACATATTTAATCTATGTTATTTGTTTATTATCACTAAAATTACAAATTAATCTATTTTTCTAATTTTAATATCACGGGTCACTGTAATATTTTTTTAATTTTAATCTATTTTTTTATTATCACTATAATATATTTTTTAATTTTAATAAAATGGAAAATTTATTTATCTCACATATCACTGTCAACACAATATTTAATTTAATTTAATCAACCATTATCTTAATTTAAGAGATAAAATCACTATCAACTACCTGTTTACATTTATATTTGTTAAAATTTCATATTTTCTTCCAACTCTCGCTTCTTTTTTTTATATGGTTATTTAATACATTGAGCTTTTATGATCATCATCAAATAATTATTATTCAATTGACCAAACTTCTTTCAAATTTCAAAATTTTCTTTTTTCTTTTTTCTAGATTTCATTGGTTCCCTTTTTCTTTTCATTTTATATGATTATTTAATACAATTGAATTTTATGATTATTGTTTATTTTACAATTAAATATCTCATTTCAAACTTATGTACTTCTAAGTATATTTTATATCGTATCAAATAAATTCACCCGTGCGGGAGCATGGGTCTCTGACTAGTTGAGTCTTAAAGAGCATGTCACTGATTGCGTCTCAACGTGACAATGACTAGCAAATTTGAACAAAGAATTAGGTGCATTACCATTTTAATGTATTACAGAGTACAATACCGACCACTTCAATTATAAAAACTTAATAGGCAAATTTGATGAACAAATAATATTTTTACCGTGTTTTCTTCTATGAGGCTGAAACGTTGCTTATTATCTTTTCGAACAGCCTGAGGATAACCATGAGATACTTTAGAATAAAATGTTTTTCTTCAGCAAATTCATACGAAATTAACATTACAATTAAGAGTTAAGGGTTCGTATTAATAACTGGATGAACAAATATTGAAGAATGAAACAGCATTCCATATTTCTCATATTTTTCATGTACAAGCTATAGAGGTCCTTTGAAAATACAGGAGATAGGCCTCCAAAATATTTGTATAGAAGGAAGGGTAGAAAAGGAAAAGAAAGAGAAGAGGCGGCAACCTAACTAACTTGACAAGTGGTTAGCCTAACTAACTTCTAACCAACTTGACGAGTGGACAAGTGGCAGTTAGGAGTACTGGTGATTGACAGGATCACGGAAGACAATTGAATATAATAGAATTGAGGAGCAGGGAAAAAGGGGTTGGTTTTATGAAATAGAAATTGGGACTGAGAAGTGAGAGCAAATCTCAATTCAGTAGGGGATATTCTCACAATGAGAGTATCATTCAGTCAGCATTTATTTTTCTAAAATTGTAAGGAGAATCTTCTCCATCCACTGATACCAAAAAAACTGGATTTTAAATTGGGTTATCATCAAATAAGAATGAAAGAGAGTGACATTTCCAAGACGGCTTTTAAAACTCATGAGGGTCACTATGAGTAGTTGTCTTGCCTTTTGGCTTGACTAATGCTCCATCCAAATGTCATCTAGGACTAACAATCCAATTTCCAAGTGTTCATGAACGATATTTTTGAGCCTTATTTAAGAAAGTTTATGTTGGTTTTCTTTGACAACATACTGGTTTACATGCCATTTGAAGATTGTGTTGGAGGTGTTAAGGACACATCCTCTAAAGGTGAACTTTAAAAAGTGTAGTTTTGGTATATAACTCAATTAGAATACTTGGGCCATATCATTTCTGCCAATTCCTGTGCCGGTTCAGATTTGGGAGGATCTCATTATGGATTTTATTGGAAGACTACCAAAATCCAAAGGGAACGACACTATAATGGTGGTGGTAGATAGGCTGTCCAGTGTCCAAAGGAACTGATTTCAAGGCCTTGAGTCACCCTTATACAACAAGGACAGTAGCTGGGATGTTCATCAATGAAGTGGTGAAATTACACAGGTTTCCGACTTCCATCATCTCTGACCGAGACCGGGTGCTCATGAGTCTTTTTTGGCGTGAGTTGTTCACCTTATCAGGGACCAAACTGAAGTTCAGATCTGTTTATTATCGACTAACGGATGGGCACTTGGAGGTAACAAGCAGAACGTTGGAGACATATTTGAGGTGTTTTGCCAATGAACAGCCAAAACAGTAAAATGGTTAACATGGGCTAAATTTTGGTTCAACTTGTATTAGAATGCTTCAATTGGCATGAACCCATTTAAGGCAATATATGGGAGGGAGGCACCATGAGTGATCAAATACCCTCGGGAGGGGCAAGAGTTGAAGGGTGGATAAACTCCTAGGGGAACGTGATGTTGTGTTGGAAAACTTAAAGGAGCAGTTGAACGGAGCACATAATAGCATGAAACAGTGGGCGGATAAGAAGAGGAGAGAGGTGACCTATGAATTGAAGGATAAGGAGTACTTGAAGGCACAACCTTATAGGGGTTCAAATCCTTAACTAATAAACCCAATGAGAAGCTGAGTACACGATTTTATGGACCATTTAAAGTTATCGACAAGATTGGCAGTGTAGCATATAAATTGGCATTACCCTCCAATTCTAAAATACACCTGGTGTTCCGTTTATCTCAGCTGAAGAAAGCAGTAGAGAGTGGAATTGCAGTGCAGCGGTTACCAGTGTTTGAATGCAGAATGGGAGCTACAAGTTCAACCAAAGGAAGTGTTGGGAGTAAGGAGACTACTGAATGGAACTGAACAGGTGCTGATTCTGTGGGAGGGACTGCCTGAAGATGAAAACACTTGGGAAATCTCTCGAGTCTTCCCAGAATTTAACCATGAGGACAAGGTAGCACTGGTGGGGGTTAGTGTTGATAGGCCTCTAAAATATGTGTATAGAAGGAAGGGTAGAAAAGAAAAAGAAAGAGAAGAGACGGAAGCATAACTAACTTCTAACTAACTTGACAAGTGGTTAGCCTAACTAACTTCTAACAAACTTGACAAGTGGTTAAGAGGAAATGCAACTAACATGACAGATGGCAGCCTAGGAGTGGTGGGGATTGAGAGAATCATGGAAGAGAATGTGAATATAATAGAATTGAGAAGTGAAAAAGGGGTCAGTTTTATGAAATAGAAATTGGGACCGAGAAGAGAGAGCAATTATCAACTCAGTAGGGGATATTCTCGGTGAGTATCATTCGGTTAGCGTTTACTTTTCTAAAATTGTAGGGAGAATCTTCTCCGTCCACTGTACTGCATTTCCTTCAATTAATACAGTTCCAAAAGGTTTCTCTTCTGCGATTTACGGTCACCCATACTAGCTATTTCATCCTAATTCTAGAATTCTTGGTCCTGGTCCTGGTCCTGTTAGAGTACAATAAAAAAGGAAAGAAAATCTCTAATATAAAAAGCTACTAATCAGCACAAGAGCTTCATTATAAAAAACAGATGACAAAAGGAATAAAAGTTCCATAGGTAATCATTCTCTTGTGTTTCATAAAAGAAAAATAAACATATTGGAGTACGGCTAATACCATAAATATGACTTTATTTTATATATTTGTTTTTTGTATTCATGATAATCAAATTAAAACAGAAACGGAAAAGCATATAAAATGGGATGAGCTTGTGCAGCCGGAAACAGAAAGAAAAAAAAAACATATACTAGACAACTGACCTCCCTAATGTCATCAATGGTGTTGGATCGCAGAAGAATATTATCAAGTGTCTTCAAATTCAACTTTAGCAAATCATTAACATTCAAATAACCATCACTCCTCATATTCAATTTCAATTCAGATGCCATATCCTGCAGATATTAAACAAAATTATAATGAGAGAAATTGCTTAGTAAAAGAATTAGGCACAAAACAGTTTTACTTAAGTCATAGCATAGAGTTCATCCGACATCTACTATGTTGCTCCAATCCCATGCAAACAAAGTACATGTTATTTTTCAAAAGAGACTGCTTTTAATTGGCTAAATTTACAGAAGATATCTTATAAAATTGCTTCCTTCCTTAATCAAAGCATGACAGATTGACAAACTTCTCTCCACATGAAAAGAATGAGAATATCCACTTTATTTTCAAACAAAAGAACAAAGACAAATGAAACTTGCATTATCTAGCTACAAAGGAAGAAAGAAATGTTAATGTAAACAAAAAACTATTAGAGGGCCAAGTAGTGCTTACAGGAGGCTACCAAGAGCATCAATTTTATCCGTTCCCGAGCCACTCACACTGCCACCACCTCACCCTCTTGTTCTTTCTCTATCATTTATTGTATCAAAAGCCCTTCCTCTGCCATTGCCAGAACTGCCCACAAAATATCAAGCATAAAACTCTGAACTTGACTACTGATAAGTGATAAGTCAACACAAGTCAAAGCAATCAATGACACAAACTTATCCAAGGTATTGAATCACTAGAATAAACTTGAAATTCCAATACATAAGTACACATGGTGAGAATATCCACTTTATTTTCAAACAAAAGAACAAAGACAAATGAAACTTGCATTATCTAGCTACAAAGGAAGAAAGGAATGTTAATGTAAACAAAAAACTATTAGAGGGACAAGTAGTGCTTACAGGAGGCTACCAAGAGCATCAATTTTATCCGTTCCCGAGCCACTCACACTGCCACCACCCCACCCTCTTGTTCTTTCTCTATCATTTATTGTATCAAAAGCCCTTCCTCTGCCATTGCCAGAACTGCCCACAAAATATCAAGCATAAAACTCTGAACTTGACTACTGATAAGTGATAAGTCAACACAAGTCAAAGCAATCAATGACACAAACTTATCCAAGGTATTGAATCACTAGAATAAACTTGAAATTCCAATACATAAGTACACATGGTGAGAATATCCACTTTATTTTCAAACAAAAGAACAAAGACAAATGAAACTTGCATTATCTAGCTACAAAGGAAGAAAGGAATGTTAATGTAAACAAAAAACTATTAGAGGGACAAGTAGTGCTTACAGGAGGCTACCAAGAGCATCAATTTTATCCGTTCCCGAGCCACTCACACTGCCACCACCCCACCCTCTTGTTCTTTCTCTATCATTTATTGTATCAAAAGCCCTTCCTCTGCCATTGCCAGAACTGCCCACAAAATATCAAGCATAAAACTCTGAACTTGACTACTGATAAGTGATAAGTCAACACAAGTCAAAGCAATCAATGACACAAACTTATCCAAGGTATTGAATCACTAGAATAAACTTGAAATTCCAATACATAAGTACACATGGTTAGAAACAAAAAAAAATTAAGAACTAGAAAGGAGTTGGTTATAAAGAAGATTACATACATGGTCTTGTTTATGCAGGAACACATCCAAATTCATCACAGTGGGAGCATTTTTCCCCTACTAGGGATTTCAATCTCTCTCATTATTATAAGTATTAGCCGCCCAACATAAATTTGGAGGATAGCGCCGCTTTGCAGTAATGACGGAGAAAGTTGCATAATAAATATATATACATAAATAGGAAAAGTTTTTGTGCATCAATGAAATAAAACAATTAATAGCATTATAGCAGTATCACATTCCCATGATCAATTTTGCGGAATAACTGTTAAGTAACTGCAACTTTTATCTAATAGTCAATCAATAATCGTAATATTTCACAAGCCACGACACATGAATTTCAAAAAACTCTAAACCAATATATGAAATGACTTATAATATTACCTTCCAAGTCATTATTTTCATGTTGCTACTGAGAAGCATACTTTATACCACCCCGTCAGCAGGCGTCAAACTCAGCAATGTTTGATGAACTCCCTGCACAAAATGTACAACCAAACCATCCAAACCCGTACAATCAAGGTTGAAGAACAAACCCTAGCAATGTTGATTTCAAACACCTATTGAAACTGATAAAATTAAATTACATTCAAGGTTGAAGAACAAACCCTAGCAATGTTGATTTCAAACACCTATTGAAACTGATAAAATTAAAAGAAAATTTTCGCATTCGCGTTACGGATTGCGTCATCAAAAAAGAGAAGAAGAAAAGGTAAATATGGAGATGCGGGGTATCGATCCCCGTACCTCTCGCATGCTAAGCGAGCGCTCTACCATCTGAGCTACATCCCCTTTTGTTTCTCACTTGAATCTTACCGTAATTTCATCAATACGTGCGAGACCAGAATTTGGTTGAAGCTGTTTTAGTTTGATAGTTATACAATTCTTACTCTTTGGTAGATGAAATATATAAAATAAAAAATTTGAAAATGTCTAATTTCAGATCAAAACAAAAATCACTGTAGCTGTCTACTTTATCTCTTAAAGATCATCCTTTTTATTTTAAAGAAATGAGTTTCTCACTCTCTTGTGTTATACATTTTCACATATATTTTTTTTCAAAATACTCTAAATTTCTTATATTTGACTATCTTTTTATTTTTTTCTCTTTTAATTTTACTCACTTTTTATTTGATTATATTTTTCTTATTTAATGAAGAAAGAGGTTGAGAATTAAGAGACAAAATGAAAGCAAAATAGATGAGAATCTTCATATCTAAAATAGAGTGAGTTGGATAGCTCTTTTTTTTTATCATGTATTTATTAGTTTAACTCCAACGTGAAACACTTCAGATCAATATAAGCAGTATCGATTCAACAAATTTGGTGTAAGGTAAAATATAAAATATTTTTTATATAAAAATAAAAATAATAAAATTTATATTAGCTTTTATACTTTAAAACTTACAAGAACAAATGAGGATAGAACTCTCGCATCTTGGACTTGAGCTCCCAAGTAGCCTCGCTCGGATACGAATCCTCCCAAAGAAACTTCACCATGAGTATCTCCTTGTTTCGCAATGACTTGCTTGCATACTCCATGATATGGCTCGGTTGAGCTTGAAAATATAGGTTTGCTTCTACTTCAACTGTATTCGGTAAGATCGGATGAAGAGAGTCAGGAAATACTTAACAAGGAGTCACTAGGTTCTCTTCCATCGAAGAGCACTCGGAAAGACTTAACAAGGAGTCACTAGGTTCGGCCATAAACTCATCTTCCGTACCACTGGCCATTATACCTGAAAAGCAGAGGACAAAAGTGAATTTGACATCAGAATTAAATCCACCATTTCACCGCTAATCAAGTGAAATGGCGCAAAGGAACGAGGACCCTGTCTTATCGGGCGCATCTGCACCGAGCAAGGATGGGGATCCTCCGAGCAGCTATCTCCCCAATATTGTTGGCTTGAAGCCGCTCCTGGGAATTCATCGTCCCTCACGAAGACCATAGCATGAACCCAGAAACGGCCCAATATTACCGGAGACTTCATCACAAACTTCTATTACCTACACTATGTTTGAAGCATCCCTACAAGACATGCAGAGGAACTACCATCCTCAGGCAACAGAACCACCATCCGCAACCAACACTCCGCCAGTAATTCTCACACTAAGTTACTCTAAGCCATAAACCGCATACATTTTTAAAAGAAGAGGCGCAAAACCTAGCCTACAACATAAAAAAATTCCACTGAAATAGGGAAGAATAAAGAACCTTACCAAATTATTGGCAAAGCAAACATCGGCGAATAGCGGAACGAACGAAATGATTCAAAGAATAATTGTGTCGAGCAAAAATATGCAGTGTCGAGCAGAAGGAGAGCAAGCGAAAAAGTAAAAATGAAGCTCTGTCCTTGCCTTTTATAGAACAGCATGCTCTCACGTGAGCGAGCACGCACCTAGGGAACCCTAAAAGGCATCATCATTACGCTTTAATCCCTAGGCTAGCCATCATCACGCCTTTATGGAAACATGTGGCTCGATGCAAGCGTGGCACACAAACTCCCCAGATTCCAACTAATTGCTCCTCTCCCAGGGAGATGAACACACAGAGCAATATTCAGACTCCTCGTGCGAAATTTCCCCTTGAAACACGATAACTCCTCAGAGACGCTCAATTGTTCCTCTCCCCGAGAGACAAACACACCGAGCAATTTTCAGACTCCTCGCATGAAATTACCCCTTGAAACATGATAACTCCTCGGAGCTGCTCAATTGTTCCTCTCTCAACTAGGCAAACACACCGAGCATCACTTGTACTCCTCGTGTGAAATCGACCAAGGAGCACCCCCGTTTTGCAAGCACATCTAAGTCATCACTCCTCTGCCCAAAAGCAACGACTTAGGGGGCTCCTATTCTAGACTGGCCCAATGAATAGAATTGGCCCAATCTGATTCTACCTTTGGCATGGCCCAATATTACTGGCCTAGCATTACGGTCGGCCATGCCCTTGAATAACGTGACCAACAATACCCGAAACACACGCCTTCCCGTGCGGGAAGCTACCTCTCAGTCTGCTCGACACATGAGGAGCAGACGCCCAGGAAATGCTCATGAACGCTTCTGCCCGTCATCTCGATCTTGCTCGATGCAACGGCTAGTTACAGGCACGACTGTCTGTTTTGACCCAGTCTTGGCAGTTACCTATTTTTACGGACCCGCATATCTAGGCCCAAAAATAGGAACCAATGACTACGCGTTAGGGGAACTATATAAACCCTCACACTTATGAGGGCCAGGTATCCAATATTCAAACCTTAAACCTTAATATTCTGCTTGTATCTCTTTGCACCCATTCTTTCTTGATCATCAGAGTGCCTTGCAGGTACAACGCCCCCTTTCTCCTCAACTTTCCAGCAAGCCAGATATCATCCTTCAGACCATTTACAGGTCCTGATCAACCGGTAAGATCAGTTATCATAAGATATTTCAAATGAAGAGTTTATGCCATGAAATACAAATGATTATGAAATGCAAAATATTAAAACATGAAGTCACTATAAGCATATGGATTGAAAACACGCAATGTTAACAACAAATTTTTTGGAAGTGAACATTCATGGGATTGCATTACACATCAAATATATCAGATACATTTGAAACATAAACACGTAATCAAGTTTTTAAGAGTCATGTATAAGCAATGGAATAAATAAACACTTACATACAAAGAGATAAGTGAAACGATATTACCCCATAGGATGACAAATGGAGGATGCACTCACAAGAACTAGAACTTCCAAAAGAAGGTTAAACAATTATAGAGAGAGTGCATGTATCAAACTATTTAGGTAAAATTTGAGATATCGAGAATGCCCAATTCCCGATGAATATTGAAAAATGGTTTGGCCGCAAGAGGTTTTATGAAAATATCAGCAAGTTGACTTTTGTTATCAACATGCTCAAAAACGACATCCATTTTTTCAACATGGTCACATAGGAAATGGTGACATATCTAAATATGTGTAGTATGTGAGTGTAGCTCATTATTTTAGTTAGGTTAATAACACTATTATTTTTGCACATTATGGGAATACTTTGAAGTTTAATGTCAAAATCAAGAAATTGTTGTTTAAGCCACAAAGTTTGAGCACAACATTTACCCGCAACAATGTATTCCGCTTCAACAGTTGACAAAGAAACAGATACTTGCTTCTTGCTATGCCAACTGACTAAAGAGTTTGAAAATAAGTGGCCAGTTCCACTAGTGCTCTTCCTATATGATTTGCAACTGGCAAAGTCAGAATCAGAGTAACCAACTAAACTATAGTCGCATCCTTTGGGATACCAAAGGCCTAAAAGTAGTAATATATAAGAGTGATACAATCATACCTATATACCTTTTGATGACAACATCCTTACCATTTTCATCTTTGTCGAAGTTTCCATTTGTGGGAATTGGAGTGTCAATTAAATTCACACTAACCATTTCGAAGCGTTTAAGCAACTCTTGGCAATACTTTTTTTTACACACAAAAGTTCCTTCCTTGAGTTGTTTGATTTAAAGTCCGAGTAAGTAGTTTAACTCCCCCATTAGACTCATTTCAATCTCTCCCTGCATTATCTCCGAAAACTCTTTGACCAATTTCATATTAGAAGAACCAAATATGATATCGTCAACATAAGTTTGAACGAGAAGAATATGTTTTCCTTGACGTTTAATGAAAAGTGTTGTATCTACCTTCCCTCTAGAATATCCTTGATCAAGTAAGAATTTTCTAAGTCGCTCATACCAAGCCCTAGGGGCTTGTTTGAGACCATTTGCATCCGAAGACATGAAGATGTGATAAATTTGGTTTTCTATCTTTTATAAGTTCATAAGGAGTTTTGTTTAAAATAGGACGTATAAGTATCCTATTTAAAACATAACAAGTTATGCTTACTGCATTGGCCCAAAAATATTTAGGTAGACCACCTTCATTGATCATAGTTCTTGCCAACTCCTCTAAAACTCGATTTTTGCACTCTATAACACCATTTTGTTGGGGGAGTTATAGGAGCGGAAAAATTAAGTTTAATTCCATAT